GTAGATAATAGTGTATGCACCGTTTCGCTGCTGGTTGGAGAATTCAAAGGATCCAGCCCTGAGACTGGGTCGTCGGTGAAGGCAGAGGCAAATTATAGTATGACCAACTCAGTGAAGTAAAGATGCCTGACCGAGTCCTAAACCAGTCTCTCCCTGCACGTGCAGCTCCATCTCCAGGGGAAGGATTGTGTTCTAATTTCTCCGCATTAATTCTGACATTTGGAAGAGAAGGCCAATTGTTCCACAGAAGTGCTGCAAAGCTGTAGATCGGCTGGTTCTATTCTCATTCCAGATAGTAACAATATGCCTGCTATTCTAAATTAGCCCAATGTGTCCACATTAGTTAAAAAAGAGAAACAAAAAGCATAGTAATACATAAACAAGCTAGGCCCATGTGGAAAAAGGAGTTTTCGGATCAATGCTCCTTTGGAAACACTTCCCGCTTTGTGAGAGAGCGTTTTTCACTATGTGCGTATAGACAAGCTCACACCCCCTCCTGAGCCAATGGCATAGCATGGCTGGCGGGAGAAATCTATATGTATAACAAAATCGCAGCCTATAAATCTACAGTGGTTTCTAAATGTTTACAGTACCTTATTTTCAAACTCCAACCCTGTTCACACCAAAGATGCTGGGAAGACAGTGAGTAAGTCTAGCGAGCGGCAGAACTGTGGCAGTCGCTCTGCATTATTCACGGGCTCTTCTGCACTGACACCATGTGAATTGCATAACAGTCTCCGTGTGGAGAACCTTTATTTTCTTTCTCAAGAGTTGCAGGCGTAATCTGTTAGAATGTGCATGCCAAATAATTGTGGGGAGGGGGAGGACAAAAGTGGACAAGACCACCCGTTTTCTTATCTGCTTCTGCCATCTCCTCCTCTTTTATGCTCTTTCTCTCTCCTTCCCCAGCCAGTGGACTGCCAGGAGGGACAAATAACATTTTTAAGATGTCAAAATGATGGTCTGTAGAGAGCTTTGAAACTAGGCTGAGGGCCACAGGTTGCTCACCTCTGAAGCAGGGGAAACAACTTATGAAGATCAAGGTTGGGCCTGACCCCATGAGCTCACCTCCTGCCTCCACAAATTCTCAACACCAGCTTGCTTGTGTAACAGGCACTGGCTGCCTATGACCACAGCGCTGGCTTAATCTACATAAACATGAGAGATCCTTACAGAGAAAGGTTCCTAACACCCTTTTTAGAAGGAAACACAAACCAACCTGCTGGAATTTTTATTGAAACATGCTTCACGTTTTACATGACTTTGCAAGAATGTGTTTGCACTGCATCGGTTTGCGCCTTCTCACATTTCTTTGCTTCTAATTTCCCTGGGTATTCTTTTGTATATGAAATGTATATTCATGTTTTCAAAAAGCCATGTGTCTTAAGGCAATGTGAAAGAGATGTGAACACTAATGTGGTGTGGTGAGAAAGAGTACAGGACTGGGACTCAAGAGATCCGGGTTCAAGTCCCCGCTCAGCCATGAAACTCAATGGGTGACCTTGCCCACTAGCAGAATGTCAACTAACCTACTTCACACAGTTGTTGTGAAGCTAAAGTGGAGAGGAAACTTGTAAACCACCTTAACTTCCTTGCCAGAGGAAGAAAAGCAAGATATAAATGCAATGCAATAAATAATAAGTGTGTGCATGATAGGTGTCCAACCTGACATGAAAATGCAGTGTTGGAAACATCAAGTTTCACTTCTGCCTCCAAAAGTTGAAGAGATCCCATGCCTTCTCTCCCAGGCCAACGCATTTTCCTGACTTCATGCATGTTGTTCTAATAGAAATGATCAGTAACAAGTACAATCTATGTGAACCTGGCATTCATGGTCAAATAGCTTTTGAATTTTGTTTGCTTAGTGGTTACTCAAATTCAGAATGTTGTGGGCACATTCAAAATCTCTCTTTGCAATCTTAATGTATCATTACTAAAAAAGGAAACGTGCTTATAATATGGACGCACAGCTTAACACACATTGCGTCACAACTAAGATCTCTAAGAAACAACCACCAAGTAATACTCTGCAACCAACCTTCAGTTCCATGAAAAAGAAGAGTAAATAAAGAGGAAAGATTCATGAATGGATTTGCAAAAAGATATAATGGCTTCACTCACTCAGATCTAAAACAGTACAGGCCACAAACGATTTGACTGTCAGGAGTATGTTTTACACAGAAATTAAGAAGAGTTGCTAGTGGTGTGTAGTGTTCACAATATAAATTTCTGATGCTTGTGTTGAGTTTCTGTTCTAGGAGAAGTTGCGCCTGCTCAGAGGATGAAACAGAAATACTAGAGGTTGGAACAATCCTTTCCTCTCCTACCAGGTAGCCTCAATTTTTGGCCACGGGAGTTTTCAGTGCATACGATGTTGCAGACGGAACATTCAGTCAAATGAGCCCCACCGGACCACACCTTCGGTGGCGACCCCACTCCATGGGGGCCTTCCCTGCTTCTTCTGAGCACAGCCTGTGTCCTGGGGACCCAGGGAGAGACGACGTCCTTCAAGGAAAGGCACAGCAGCCCCCCTAAGAAATGAATGCTCCTGCCACAGTGTAATAAGCACGGACAGCAGAGTGGGCGGTGCCGACTTCCAGCAGAGATCTTCAGCCACGCTTCATGGAGGCCATGAGCCAGGATTATGCCCTTCAACCAGACAGCCCTATACCCTAAAATGACGTGCTATAATGGAGTGTCAATGTAACAACATGGAGAGAGCGCTGGATGCGGACCAGGGAGATCTTGGCTCATCAGCCACACATCACAGAATGAGTTTAGGCCAGGTACAATGTCACTGAGAGACTCTGGGGCAGCCACAAGTTCTTAAGCTTGTGCCGATAAGGTACAGAAACTGAGCTAAGTAAATAAATAAAACCAGACGAGCCCATAATCTGCACTTTGGTAGAGCAGCATAACACGGCTGTGCTCAAACAAGGATGCACACGAAACAAGGTAGGATAATTTCAATGCAGAAAGTACTCACAGTGGGGTGTGCTCCAAAACAAAATTAAGTGAGCATCAAGAGGTCCAGATAAGAAATTGGAGGCACACGTGGGGTGAAAAGCCCTTTCTCATTCCTAAGAAATGGCAGGAAATCCAAAGTACGGAGCAAGATGGTTTGGCATTCTCTCTGATGAACGCCGCACTGTGCAGTCACTAAAAAAGTTGCAAGCTGACAGCTGCCACACACGTAAAGGCAACAAATGTTATGTGACCAGAGATGACTGGCGTGACATGTGCACCTTATGCAATCATGTTCCCAGCTATTTTAAAAATGTCCTGTGAAAAAATCCTTTAATGGTGTTGGTACCAAAAACAAAGAAACGACAAACCATCCTTCTGGAAAATAGATCTCCTGTGAGTTTTTCTCTGAAACCCTCTATTTAAACAAGTTCCATCAAGCATTATAAAGCAGTGATATTTATGGAGTGTTATTTAGCAGTGGAACAATATAGGCGTTATTACATTTTAGAACATTAAGTTGTAGAGGCAGAGCAAGGCAGCGAATTTCAAGGAATTCACTCATATGTGTCTTGTTTAATCCTAGATTTGAAACTCTTTTCCCTTGCTGGCATGAAAACAGCATGAACCGAGAATCAATTACTGAAAGCCACGTGACGGTCTCCCATCTTAGAGTGAATCTGGGAGAAGCTGAATGTTTGAGGATGTAGCTGTATTTGATCTTCTGTCTATGGCTTAAACGAATGTGTTATCCCAAAAGAAGATTTTCTCGTCTCCATGGGGCATGCTTCCCAACAGGTTGCCTTTGACAACAGGTTGTGGGTCCCATACAGAGAGGATCCTGACTTGCCATTGCAGAGATGGGGGACAAATTAATTTGGTTACCTTGGGCTGCACATTTGAACAGGAATCAAAACTCAATAATCCTTTAAAATTCATACTTCTCTGAATTTTGCAGGGAAGTTTTCCAGTCAAAGAATGTGTATGGAAATGCATGTATTGGGTAAAGCTTTCATAAAAGAGAGTCCTCAGACTTACTTCCTCAGATTCCTCTCCTTCCCACTCAGTTCTCCCACTCCTGGTACGTATTCCATCAGCCACTATGGCTGAAATCCCAAGGTGCACCATTCCCTATGCCATTTGCCTCTTCTGCACAGGTCCACACACAGAGGCTGGATGGCTGGAGTGGCTCCTACACTTGCACTCCTTCCAGAGGACTCTGTGGTAGTTGCATACCAGGGTTCAGGATTCAGACAGCATGACAAGCCATGGTGGTACAGAGAAACCATAGAACACACCATTGTTTCTTATCATGGATTCTAAAGACCATGGTGAAATACCACGACTAGGTTCAGACTACATGATAGACCAAAAATGGTTAAAAAAAAGTCTCACCATGGTTTGTTGTGCTGTCTGAACCCAGGCACTGTATACCTGTGTATGGTTTCAAATGCTATTGTATTTTATGTTATAAGTCAAGTGGGATGCCACAGATATGGCAAAAAGGCTGCAAATAAATAGGCTTCTAAATGAATACATAAACTCTGTTTGTTGACTCTACAAAATGTTGGCAATGACTGTAAAAGGAAAGGAGGAAAGCAATGTCAAGAGGGGTCAGTACTATAGGGAGATACTGAGTTTGATGGAGATTAGAAGCACTATCCTGGGATTCTAGAAAATCTACTTGTCCTCCCTTCATTTTCCAAATGAATGACCAGAGACAATAAAGGACAAGGTTCTTGTACCTGTAACAGCTGCATACAAACTTGTGATGTCTCTGTGCTAGTTGGCTAGCCTTTCCTAGGGCTGTCTTTCCTAGGGCTGTCTAGTCAGCCTCTCTCTCTCTCTGTCTCTCTCTCTCTCACTTTCAGCCTGTCTCCCTGTGTAAGCTTAACAAAATGGGCCCACATTGCAAGGTTGGTATGAAGCTTGTAACGAGATAATATATGTGCACTCTGAAAAACTGTAGAATGGATTACCTGAACAAAAGTAGGAAAGAAAATGCTTAGTCACCAGATAAAATCCGTGAAATTTACCTGTCATGTGATCTCATGAAGTCCCAAATCTTTGAAACGCCATTCTGAAAGACAAGAATCATCATTAACTATTAGTGCAGCATATTATTTTATTTATTTATTCATTCATTCATTCATTCAATTTATATCCTGCCTTTTTCCTACAAAGGGCTCAAGGCAGCTTTCTTCATTCTCCTCCTCCATCTTATCCCCACAACAACAACCCTGTGAGGTAGGTTGAGCTGAGAGTCTGTGACTGGCCCAAAGTCACCCAGTTGGCTCCGTGGCTGAGCGGGGACTAGAACCCAGATCGTCTGAGTCCCAATCCCATGCTCTTAACCATTACACCACACTGGCTCTCCTACAGTCAGATACCAGGCAAACCAATCAGTCAATCTTATATGCATACACACACGCATAGGCTGCATGCACACAGCACAAGTAACCCTGTGCGATTACCATGGTTTGCAGTTTTTTATCCTGATCTAGTGGGTGGACAATCAGCTGGTTTCTACTTCTACTTCTACATATAATTCCTCATGACAGACCTGAGTCTGTCCGACCCATCATGACCCCATGGACAACATTCCTCCAGGCCTTCCTGTCCTCCAGCATCCCCCAGAGTCCACCTAAACTCACGCTGACTGCTTCAGTGACGCCATCCAGCCACCTCATTCTCTGCCGTCCCCTTCTTCTTTTGCCATCTATTGTTCCCAGCATTAGGCTCTTCTCCAGGGAGTCCTTCCTTCTCATTCGGTGGCCAAAGTATTTATTTTATTATCTATTTATTAAAACATTTTTATGCCGCCCCATTCGCGAAGCCTCGGGGCGGCTTACAACAAGATGAAGTATTTGAGTTTCATCTTCAGTACCTGGCCTTCTAAAGAGCATTCAGGGTTGATCTCCTCTAGGACTGACCAGTTTGATCACCTTGCGGTCCAAGGGACTCGCAGGAGTCTCCTCCAGCACCACAATTCAAAGGCCTCAATCCTTCAGCTCTCAGCCTTCCTTATGGTCCAGCTTTCACAGCCATACATTGCAACTGGGAAAACCATAGCCTTGACTATACGCACTTTTGTTGGCAGGGTGATGTCTCTGCTTTTTAGTATGCTGTCTAGATGTGCCATAGCTTTCCTCCCCAGGAGCAAGCGTCTTTTAATTTCTTGGCTGCAGTCCCCGTCTGTGGTGATCTTGGAGCCCAGGAAAATAAAATCTGTCACTACCTCCATTTCTTCCCCATCTATTTGCCAGGAAGTGAGAGGACCGGATGCCCTGATCTTAGTTTTCTTAATGTTGAGTTTCAAGTTATCTTTTGCACTCTCCTCCTTCACCCACATCAAGAGGCTCTTTAGTTCTTCTTCACTTTCTGCCATGAGAGTGGTATCATCTGCATATCTGAGGTTGTTGATATTTCTCCCAGCAATCTTAATTCCAACTGGTGATTCATCTAGCCCCGCCTTTCTCATGATGTGCTCTGCATATAAGTTAAATAGGCAGGGCGACAGTATACAGCCTTGCTGAACTCCTCTCTCAATTTTGAACCAATCAGTGGTTCCGTGTCCAGTTCTCACTGTTGCTTCTTGACCCGCATATAGGTTTCTCAAGAGACAAGTAAGAAGGTCTGGCACTCTCATCTCTTTAAGAACTTGCCACAATTTGTTGTGATCCACACAATCAAAGGCTTTAGCATAGTCAATGAAGCAGAAGTAGATGTTTTTCTGGAACTCCCTAGCTTTCTCCATGATCCAGCGTATGTTGGCAATTTGATCTCTAGTTCCTCTCTCTCTTTGAAATCCTGCCTGTACTTCTGGTAGTTCTTGGTTCACATACTGCTGGAGCCTAGCTTGTAGGATTCTGTGCATAACTTTGCTAGCACATGAAATGAGTGCAATGGTGCGGTAGTTTGAACGTTCTTTTGGCATCGCCCTTCTTTGGGATCAAAATGTAAACTGACCTTTTCCAATCCTGTGGCCACTGTTGAGTTTTCCAAGTTTGCTGGCATATTGAGTGTAGCACTTTTACTGCATCGTCTTTTAAGATTTTGAATAGCTCAGCTGGAATACTGTCACCTCCACTAGCTTTGTTGTTGCTCAGACTTCCTAAGGCCCATTTGACTTCACATTCCAGGAGGTCTGGCTCAAGGCCAGTGACCACCCCATTGTGCTTATCAGGGACGTTAAGCTCTTTCTTGTATAGTTTGTTTGTTTATTTAAGGAACTTCTATGCCACCCCATTTGCCGAAGCCTCGGGGCGGCTCAAATAAAATGTTACAGTTGTCTACCTAAAAGTTAACATACCATTTAGTATTACTCATAGCACCAAAGAAACATGTATACAAAAATGTATAATTTAGGAGACATACACACACACACAAAATGTGTAGGAATTTTCATGCACACTTCATAAAAATCATGGCGTCCAGAACAGAATTTAAGACTGGAAAAAAATATAAAACTGAGAGAAATCAACACTGACAGATTCATCCATTCTTCTCTTCCAGAGAGTTAATCCCAGCTTGACCTGCCCCACCTCCACATTCAGGATGCACATCCTTACTACCATTTATTTATATTTTGCTTAACATGGAAAAAAGAAGCCAGGTTGTACCAGACAGTGGCAATGTGTTAACATGCCACATTTGGCAGCATGCTGACAATGTCAGGCCATGGGAGAAAGGAAAACGCCATGCCAGGTGTGTGAGCATGGCAAAGGAAGAAACTCAGTTGCTGGGTGGGCAAACGAGCCGCTTGGAAAAGGCAGGCCTGAAGGCAGATGAAGAGAATTTGTCAGGACAACTGAACACAGAACTGTTGGTGGGGATTAGCTGGCTGCCATATTGCCTCAGACAGTAAGCTTCTGAGCTTTATAAGTTCAACTGAACTTTTTCTCTTTAAGGATAAAAGTGAGCTGCTTTGCTGACAGTCCCACAATGGTAATTAAACAACAGTTGTCCCTTAGGGATGGGGTGAGATTTCACACTTTCAAAACAATACACAAACAGAAACTTGGGTATCGTTTGAAATGTGTGCTTCTCCAGATCCTGCAGTGGAGCTGTACAGTCAAAAACACATAAATGAGGGGAGCCCAGTGTCTGACTGGGGCATGCTGGGCATTGTAGGCCTTTCTGTGCTGAAATGTACTCAGGATTGCATGCGCAATCTAGTTGCTGTTGAACCAGTTGAAGTGGTAAAACTGTGCACATGGGTGAAGCAAGAGGCACATTTCGTTTTTCAATCGTGCCTGCTGTATCTCCATCACCCCTTTAGCCACCTGATGTGCCGTGCATTTCTAAGCTGGGCATGGAGAAGCCACTCACAGAAGTGGCTCCCTATCTGGGGAGAATGGGGCAGAAATCCCCCACCACCTCCCCACCTACCTGCGGCAAAGAACCTCCCCCCAGCCATGCACATGCTCCAATGCACAGCAGGCAGCTGTCGATTGCCTCGCACGATCATTTCCTGCCCTCCCCGGACGGTCTCGGTAGAATATCGAGTGCCTGCCCTGTTCCCCTCGGCCCCATTCCCAAGGAGCACTCAGCGCCTTTGCTCGGCACGCAGAAGGGACAAGCCGCTTCATCTCTTCTCGACCAGATGCTTCGCTCCCCAACAGGCCGTTCCTTCTTACATATGGCCACCAGGCACATGCTTAGAAAAATGCATGTTCATGAAGGTGGAAGCATCTTAAAAGGGGGACTCTCCCTTTTCTCATGCAGAGGAAAAATGCCTCTCTTAAATGGTGCCTGCCACCTGCATGAAAACCTCTCTCTATATCCCAGCCTTGTGTTTGAGAATGAGTCCGGGTATGTTCCGCCTTTCCTCCGCTGTCCTTCCACAAGCCAAGCTTGCTTTGCGGGGGTGGAGTGGGCAGGATAGTAACTCTTCTGGGCTTCTTTGCAGGACTGACAGATCTCCAGTTCCTAATTTGTTAGGAAGACCTTTTTGTCCATTGATCAAGTTGCATACCAACTGAACATTGTAGCCCTGCTTGAAACACTTCCGCGGTGTGTTGGTTCAGGTCTAACCTTTCTGGCCCTCCAAACTGGAGTGGGAAACCAGTGGGCCTCAAGATGCTGATGAAGTATTCCCGTCAACCCTCACCACTGGTCACCACTGGCTGTTTCTGATGGGACTTGGAATCCAACCTTATCTGGAGGGGTACAGGTTCCCCATGCCTGCTCCAAATGCAAATTCGGAGGGTCAGAGAGGAGCTCTGTCACCAGCTCCTCCCCTTTCCCATTCTGTCCTTTTGTCTAATGAGCAACTTCTTGGTTTGATCAAATGATTGCTGGCTGTAAATCTGTTCAATCCAAGCCTTAATTTGGTGGATCAGAAATGCTATCTCTGAAGCAAGCCTACACTCATATCTAGGAACAAACCTCACAGGGCTCAGAGGTTCTGAGCAGGCAAGAGGATAACTGCATTGTTAATCTCTGTTTCATGTCATGACCATCGCCTGAACTGCACCAGCTGGCTGTGTGCACAGCTCCCAGGTGGAGGCTCCAACTCATTGAAATGGCACTTCTTCAGGTGTGCCTAGCAACAGCCAGCACATTCCCAAGATGCTTGGAAAGGAGCCACCTGCTAATATGAACCTAATTCTGAGCTCACCTCTGTGTTGAGGTTCTTGGAGCAGTGCCTCTTGGTTCTCTCCCCCTCTTTTCACCTACTCCTTGGCCATGGTTCTGCTGGGCTATCCCAAAAGACATTTTCTCCACATACTTTGAGTAGGCAGCACACTACAATGGAAAAGCTCCCATGTTTGTAGGTTCTTTGATCTATGCTCAAGAAGCTGTAAATAGATTAACAGTCTGCTAGCCTTTGCATGATTCTGCGTCTCCCTCCACACTGATCTGATAGTGCTTGTAAAACTATGCCCTGCTTATCTATGAATAAGATCCAATTTTACTTGGCCCGCTTGCACCTGTCCAAATAAATAAGGCAATAAACAAATGAAACAGTCCAACATCCCATTGTTTGCAGTGGCAGAAACTCAAATGAGCACCATTTGCTGCTAGAGTCCTGGTGTAATGTGATTTGTTCTTGGCCGTATGCAGCTGAGTTTCTGT